CCCAAAAAATACCTCCCAAGTTGGTTATTGTCGATAAAGATAAACTCTCTTCTAAATTTACCCTTATCCTAATTATATCCCTCAAACTAACCCAATCGATACAAGATAAACACAATATAAACTCTAAAGTCGTCCTGCTAATTATCCCTGCACACTCCCTAAACAAAAGAATAATTAAAAAAATCCTAATAAATAACCCTAATAATTTCCCTTATTACGTCATTGCCCTTTCTTTCCCTCTTGGGTTCTGCGACCCTTCTTTGGCCCAGTCACGAAGGGGCATGGCTGCATCACATTTGTAGGTTGTTTAGAATATTTAGCCTACCATCATATGATTCTATGACAGCAATGTTAACCTTGCGGTCTTCTTGCTTAAATGTATTATGGAGATCTGTATGTTTACAAGGGAAAGTGCACTATTATGTTATCATATTCCAGTATCTAAGTCAACTGCTACAATGCTTACTAGTATTTGGTAACCTGCTTGCACTAGGGAATTTAGTTTCCTTTCTTTGTTTTTTGATGGTCCTGTCTGGCCAGTCTTGTTGAGATCTTTATGGCCTTTCTTTTCAATGCATGACTATTTTACTTTTCTCTTGTTATTTATGTTTGGTTCTGCCTGTTATGATTCTCTAGCTTGCTTATCATAATCTATATTTTCTTCACTACATTCGCAAGGGATTTGAGAATGTGCCTCACCGTATATCAAAGAATAAAAGTGAGTACCTCTTAGAGCTTCCTAACTATTAGTATCTTTACAGCAACGCTCACTCGAAGCTCTCGGTGTGAAGGGAAGTTGCCATTTCTGATAGATGGGGCTCTTCCTCTCATTCTTTGGGAGTAGTATGTGAGCATCTAGAATGCTATTTCACACTTTCCAAGTTATTTCTCTCATCACCACTTGAATGTATTGATTTTGATTTCTTTTGCCATCCGGTTCCTTTCTTGCCAAGTTACCTGTATGGTGATATGGGAGAGTTATACTCCACATCAATGTTTTAAAATGCGGGATGCAGTCCCAATGCGCTCAGGGGGCCGATGCTGTTCAGATGCAGGCGCATCACCCCAATCGGTTAATAAATATAAAAAATTCTAAAAAAGTCTCAAAAAATGGGTTAATGCATGAAAAAAATATGGAGATGATTTATGCGATAGTAGGGATTTAATTTATTCATGAACTCTAATATTATCAACTGTTTGGAGACTCAGAATCCTCTGTTAGTAGACATTAGAAAGTGAAAACTAGAAACTTGAAAGTAACTTTATAGAAGGCATCATATTATCATAATTCACAAACATTTGAAAACCATAATCGCAATTGCAAAATCCGCCCTTGAAACCCTTGATGTGTTGATGAATCTATGCTCAAACTTCTTCAAAACAACGCCTAAGCTAATCCCAATTGATAACCCAACCAACACCAAGAGCAAAATCGACAATTTTTTGTAAAGAAAAGTTCTGCCATTTTTTTTTTTGCTTTGTTTAATCCAAAAACAACCATGAATGTGGCTGTTTTTGTGCTTGGGGTTAATACCCCCCACTGGTGAAAATAACCAAAATACCCATGCTGGTGTGCACTATGCCCACAAGCTATGCGGTAACATATGCACTATGCGCTATGCATTATGCATCTGCATATGCAGTCTGATGCAGCACATATGCGGGCGCATCCCATCAAAGCTCATATGTGCCCCTATGCGATGCGCTTTGGGGCAAATAGCGCATTATGCAGATGCATTTTAAAAGCTCCATGTATTTATTAATGAACTTGTTAGAAAATTGCTTTTGAACCATTTGGCTAGAAGGCACTGGGTGGTGCAGGAAGCGCTACCATTTTTTTTTAGGAAAGTTAACTGCATGAAGCGCTACCATTGAGTCTCCACAATACTATTTGGTGAATGTGATCAGCAAAATTACGAGTGGTGAATTGGTGGTATTGGTTTTCATTTACAGATTTGCATGTGTAGCATATGGTATCCAATTAAAGACCCTGTCTTTGGATTCTATCATTTGTGAGATGCTTATTTTGGTACACCAAAATAAGCATCTCGAATGTTGTTTCTAGTTCCAAGCTCTCGAATCACCTCAGGGACACTCTTGAGGGGGAATTAACTACCTTGAGAGTGAATCCAGCTGATTTCTTCAAACCCACCGCTCAGTACTCGATGGGAATACACCTCTATTATAGATAGGGTGCTACAGATTCCTTTCCAAGCCCATTATTTCTACTTGTGGTCCTAGAGTCCTACAAGTGGTGCCTCCAAAAGTACTTTTCCGAATCATTGATGACCATAAAGAAAGAGTCTTCTCCACTTTCCAACTCCCATCCCAGCCTGGCTAACAGGGCCAAGTTAATCTTGTTGTGTGTGTCTCCATTGTGGCAATGGAAACGCATGTACAGCCTATAGAAAGGATCCTATTCAAGCTAATCTCGTTAATTCTTTTGATATATTGCCCCACCTTTACTCTTGGGATTGCAAATATGACAAGGCTTGGGTGTTTTTTATTAGGTTGGTTGCTCAACAAGAAGGCCCTTAGGAGCTTCTTATGATGTTGGTTGTGGTGGATGGAAGTTTGTCTATGGAGCACCAGTGGAGAATGATTTGGGCGAGGTAGGTATTTATGAGGGTTGGTCTTCCTGGTTATGAAAGAGGCCGAAAGAGTATCAGTTTTCCAACATTTATGTCTAGACATGGATTTATCATGTCAAGGTTGACAGGCGATTTGTGAGCTTTCTTGAACAGATGCAAACCAGCCTAAGTTGAGTGAAGGTAGGTCCAAGGGCCTGTACACAAATATTAGTTTTCACAGAATATGTGGAGTGGAAGAAGGAGATGTTATAATTGGAGTGGTTTTTTTAGAGTCCTAATAGATTTTGGAAGTATTCTAGGGATGCTTTGAGGGATTTGTGGGTTTGTGGGTGGACATTTCCAAAGACTGGAAGGTCATTTGCATAGACTAAGTGTGGAGTGGTGGGGGTAATTCTCAGAATCTTGGGTGGAATGAATTTCCTTTCTCTAATCTCCCTGTAAATGATCTTGCTGAAGCATTCCATGGCTAGAATGTAGAGATAAGGAGAGGGTGGATCTCCCCTGTTCTAGTCGATTTTCTTCTTCAAAGTAACCAAAGGGGATCTTATTTAGGATTATGGATACTTGGGGCTGGTGATGCTGCTCATCATATTCTAGTTATCGGAAACTAGAAACATCTTGTTGCTCGTATTAGTCAGTTGTATAACTCTGTAACGCCCACTGTTAGAAGTTTTCTGTTCTAGTGTTCTATCAACTCATTTCTAAGGCAGTCATTTTTTCTGATCTACTGAACTTCAAAACACCACTGAGACATGTTGATGTCCACCTTGTTGAATCTTTTGTGCAAATTATTTGGTTGAGATCTTGAACCTGCAACTACTGAATGCCCGTGTCCAATATGTGGATTTCAAAAATATGGATTGGAGTAAATGTGTTCACTCCGGATACCTCCCACAAATATTCTAGTTGCAACTACCTTTAGATGAGAGATTTTTATGTATCAGTAAGTCTCGATGAGAGAAAATCACACTTTCACTTAGAGAACTGGCTTTGGATATCAGCTGTTGAAATTTTGGCCTGTGGGTGTGTCTATTTTTAGTAACAGAGAATGATCAAATAGGGTGTCGACTATTTCTAGTTACATGTAGGCCATGAGGTTCAATATCTTGAGATTGACTATTTCTAGTTACACCTAGGCCATGAGGTTCAATATATTGAGATTATCCATATTTATAAAGGGGACTGGTTTCTACGTGAAACATTTAGTAACTGTACGATACAGACCTCTCCATCTCTCAAAGGCTGTGAGCAATTCTTGGTGAACACTGTAACTAAAGGGTTTGGTGTAGAAACTAACCCGCTTAATGGGAACTTTAATCCATGTTTATCTTGATTGTTTATGCATCATGAAAAGGAGCATTTGAATGGCCTTGGCTTCTGTATATTCAGCCAGTACTGCCAGTGTATGCCAGAGGTGAAGACTGCTTGTCTTCCAGGTACCTAAGGGAGGCCTTGTTATGTGGACCTCCCAATGGGGTCAACCTTTTGTTAACTGATAAGGATATAATCATTTGGGGTCATCATGGGCCAGTCAAGTGGACAGTGATGTACAAAGAATGGGACCCACAATTATGGTCATGTCCTGTTCTTGTAGGCCACAATCTCTCTCTCTCCCT